AATCTATAACCATTGTTCTCATTGCTTGAAATTACTGCACATCATTCTTTATCTTTTCCAAGTGACATCCTGGTATATATCATTGTGAGTAATTAATACATTTACAAGTGTTTGTGAAAAAACTTGAAAGTTAGTAATCTTAGATAAATCATAAGACTTACTGTTCAGAGCATTGACATAAGGGGCTATTATCCTAAATTTATGATTAGTTTATACCTAACAACTCAGTCATACTTCTCATCAGTATTTGGGAAATTCAGACATAATATTTTCTATTTAAAAACTAAAGAATGACTGTTACCTGAAGTATCTTCTTAAAAGTCTGTCTGTATTTCTCTAAAACACACTAATAAGTACCAGATACATGAGAAAACTTGATATGGCATAATTTGTTAGAAAGCAGGCTTCTCTTGCTTTTTATCTTAAAATAGACATGGAGGGCCAGCTTCATTTCACATCAGTAACACACTACACAGGAGAAGCCTGATCCTTCTTGGAGTCCAGGGTTTGAGTGCCCAGCCTGACAGCTGGGACATGCTGTGCATGTGTGTGGGGTGAGAAATCTCACAGTGTGGAGGCCTGAGGAAGGACACTGCAATACAGCCAGCCCGAGGAGGTGCTCATATCTTTTGTTCTCTTCCTCTCTCTTTCTGTCTCTCTAACATGCACACACACTATATCATGAAGAAAAAAAATGGACTTGCAAGGAGTTTCAACATGTATTTCAATTTTTCTTCTAAGCATCATACATGTTGTTAATTTTATTATGAGAATACAGCTGAGGAGTACCATTTGCTTTGCTAAGACAATAATCTGCACACATTTTTCACAACAATAAGAAAATGATGCAACTATTTGATAATGAATATATGAATATTCATGTAGGATTCAGTTACTAATGAACAGAGAGCAGGCTAAAATGGAAAACTGGTATTGAGAAGCAGGACTGTTTGCTAATAATGAATATTGAAAATGCAGAAGTGACTTCGAAACTGGGTAATGGGCAGAGGCTGAAAGAGTTTAGAAGAGCAGGCTAGGAAAAAAAATCTATACTCTGATGAAGGGTTGGAAGAAGTACAAACTAGGAGTGAACTGGAACTTCTTAGAGATGGGCACTAAGCAGCTGCGAGTGGAATGATGACAGAAATGCAGACAGTAAGGCTGTTCATAAGAGGTTTCAGATGGAAATGAGAAAGTTATGGGAGTTGGAGGAAAGGTCATCCTTGTTATGAAATTGCAAAACACTTGGCTCCATTGTGTTCATGCCCTAAGGCTTTGTTGAACAAGTTTAAGAATTATAAATATCTAGAAAATAAAATTTCTAAGCAAAATGTAAAAGAAGCTATTGTCTTTTTAAATTTCTTTTTTTTTTTTTTTTGGAAAGGTTTTTGCTATAGGGTGCATGCTCTCACCAGAAAGACAGAGAGAAACAGAAAGACAGAAATTGAGAAATCACCCCCCTGAGGGATGATCACGCCACAATCTCTTCTCCTCCATTCTCTTCTCGGGATCTTGGGCACACATACACATACACCTGGCATGAGTTTAAAGCCACCAGGTCTGGGAATCAAACCACGGTCGACTACATGAGAGTCCAGTGATATTGCCATTACACCAACTGCTGGTCCCATTAAATTTCTTTTTCTTTCTCTTTCTTTCTTTCTTTCTTTCTTTCTTTCTTTCTTTCTTTCTTTCTTTCTTTCTTTCTTTCTTTCATTCTGAGAGAGAGGAAGAGACTCCTCAACAGGATCTTGCAATGCTTTGATCATCTTCCTGGATCACGGGTGTATGTGAGTGTACCCAGAGGTTTTCGGTCAACACTGAGTATGAATCTGGGCCTATGATGTGGCACCAGCATCATGTAGAAATGCTGCACTACCTTCCTCACCATGGCTTGTCACACCTTTAACAGTTTATAGTAGAATGAAAGCAAAAGGATGACATAAAGACAGACTTCGTAATAAAAAGGGAAGCAGAGTGGAAAGACTTGGAAATTTTGTAGGCTGATCATGAGATTAAAAAATAAAAGAGCATTTAGGGACCAGCAGTTAGTGTAATAGCTATGTCACTGAACTCCATGTAGATGACTGTGGTTCAAGTCCCGGACCTGGTGGCTTAAACTCACACCGGACATGTATGTGTGCGTGTCCAAGATCCCAAGAGGAGAATGGAGAAGGAATTGCAGCATGGCCATCTTGCTTTCTGTCTCTCTGTCTCTCTCTGTCTTTCTGGTGAGCACATGTGCCCTATAGCAAAAACCTCTCAAAAAAAAAAAAAAAAAAGAATAAAAGAGCATTTTCAGGAAATAAAATTTAAGATGTAGTGCAGTGACTTAACTAAGGAGAGTAGCATGAATAAAAGAGAGCGAGGTGCTATTCAGAAGACTATAAGGAAAAGCCTCAAGGACATTTTAGAGATCTTCAAGGCTGTTCCTTCTGTCACAGACCTAGAGACCCAGGAAACCTGAACACCATCAGGGAATGAGCTTGGTGCAGGTTTGCTGCCCTGAGCTACCTTTACACTCTGTTCCTCATGTCCTGGTGTGACACAGGTAAATTCCAGCTACAGTCCAAGCAGCCCCTGGTGAAGTTAAGGCCTTCAAAGGGCTGTTTCACCCACCACTCCAGAACATGCAAGCAGTGGTAAGTCTGAAAGCTTTCAAAATTCAAGAGCTATGGAACTATGGTAGCCTTCATCTAGATTTCATAGATTGTCTAAGACAACCTGGATGCTAAGTAGACTTGCTGCAGGTAAAGTACCACTACAAAAAGCCTTTACAATGATAACACCAAAAAAAAAAAAAAAAAAAAAAACCCTTTAAAAAGAAAACAAAAAAAAAAAAAAAAAAAAAAAAAAAAAAAAAAACCAAAACAACAACAACAACAAAAAAACAAACTGTGAAGTTACAATTACCAGAGAGAGTCCTCATTATGAAGGGCAATGTCTAGTGGAAATGTGGGGTTGAGCCTGCCACAGAGAGTCCATAGCAGAGCAATGCCTACTTACAGCCAGTGAGGCCTGGATGCTCTTGAGACCCTGGAACTTAGAGGTACCAGCATGCAATTCCAGCCTGGAAGAGCTACAGGCATTAGATTCCAAACTGAGAGAGCCTATTATAGCATTGCATTTTGGAAATATGTCATCTGTTTTCATTTCAGGTTCTCGGCTAAACTTCGGATATTTGAGTTGTTAGAATCACCAACTTTTGAGACCATTGTGATAAAAAAGATGTATTTTGGGGACCAGAAGTTAGCATAATAGCTATGTCACTGAATTCCCATGTAATCAACCATGGTTCGAGTCCTGGACCGGGGAGCTTAAACTCACACCAGGAGCGTGTGCGTGTGTGCCCAAGATCCGGAGAGGAAAATGGAGGAGAAGGGATTGCGGTGCAGCCATCCCCCTGGGGGGTGATTTCTCGCTTTCTGTCTCTCTGTCTGTCTTTGTCTTTCTGGCGAGCGCACACGCCCTATAGCAAAAACTTATCAAAAAATAAAAAATAGGTGCATTTTTAATGTGAGAAGGACATGGATTTGGAAGCCAGGTGCATAATGATATAGCCTGACTTTGCCTCCCTCACTGAATTTATGTGTTAAAATTCAGTTGTGATGGCATTAAGAGGATATAAACTTAACCCCACTCAGGATTAAGAGGCAGAGGCTTTGGGGGGGTGATTAGGATCAGATAAAACCATCAGGGTGAGGCCCATGATTAAATCCTGGCAACTTCTTAAGAAAGAAAGATACCAGAGAGACACAGACACACAGAGACGCACAGTCCTGCCCCTCACCATGTGAAACCCTGTACCACTTCAGAACTCCGCAGAGGGTTCTCCGCAACAAGAAGCCCTCCCCAGATGAAGGTCCTTGACCTTGGACTTCCCAGACACTGAGCTAAATAAACATCTGTTCTTTATCACCCAGACTGAGGTAGGTCTGTTACTAGCAACCGAGATAACACTGAGACAGGTGTTTCTTACATAGTGTAACAAGTAGAGCCCTCGATTGATTTGTGGGGCTCAGAATAGGTGGTGGGAACAACGAAACAAAGACCTGCTTGGATTCTTCATTCCTGTTCTGAGGACACTGGCTTATCATCGTTTCCATGTTTCTCATTTGCTCAATGGAGAGTTAGTTTAGAGGCTCTCAAAATACAAGATTTTGAGAAGCTTATATCTAACAGAAAGCAATCCTAGATGTATTTAGATTTTTAAAAATCTTTTTTTAAAAAAAAGAAAAAAGAAAAAAACAATACCAACTTAGTGCTTTTGTTGTCACAAGCAAAACAGATGAGATAAAACATGGGTAGTTTAGCCCCCAGGTCTGGACACAACATAAACAGAGCCCTCGAGTTGTAGCTCACAGTAAGGAAATGCACATTTAACAATATGTGGAGAGCCTTTTCTTTAGAAATGTAATGCTAAAGCTTGAGGCACAAATAAGATGCAGCCCGTGGCTTTCATCCCACCACAGGTAGCTTAACTACTTCAGTTTTATCCACGTGGTCCAACAAGGCCTGACGAACTACACTGCAGAACAAGAAGCATCTCTCGGGCGATGGTGCGTATAGACAGAGGGATTTCTTAGTCAACTGCAGGAATTAGGCTTTAATGCTTTATACTAAAAGACTTCCTACCCCAGATAGCTGCCTGCTATCCACTGAATCTTGGCAGGGAACGAGACTGCTGAAGCTGAAACCAGGAAGCTATGTTAAGCAGATTTTCATGAACGTTCAAAATGCTTTATCTGTAAAGCTACTTTTCTTCCTAGCAGTTCAAAATGCTTTTCTCCTTTTCTAATCTCTTAGTTGTCTCCAGCTCTCAGTCATCATCAAAATTACCTTCAAAAAGGTCCCTAAAAAGCCACAGAAGAGAATAAATGGTCACCTCATCAAAAGTCATTATTTGTGAGAACATAATGTTAAGAATGTCAGTTAAGAGATTAAAATGATCATGGTTCTTACAAAAATTACAAGATACAGAAAAACACTGAATACCTTACCGTTATTTGGAAGCTCTAAAGGGCTGCAGACATGGTTTTTGGTTCTAGTTTTTGGTGAAGAGATCAGTTTTGCAACCAGGAAAGCAGAGATGGGCTGTACTAACAGTGAGGTGAGGTTTGATTGTTTCTTTCTAGTGCTTCCATCTGTATGCAAAAAGAAAAGAACAGGATTCTTAGTAAACAGAAATTAAAGCATTTAAAGTATATAAAGTACATATAGTGCTTATTTACAGTAAGTATTTAAAGTATGAGCAATAAGTTTATATGCATTTATTTATTATTCCTCACACCATTTCTACTTACTAAAAATGACTTGCGGGTACTTGACAAAAACGTGTTCCAAATAGAATTATGTATTTTACTTAAACATAGCAGATTCTACGCACACACTTACCTTCACCATTCCATAAATAAACACTAAAATAACAAATGAGCACAAACCCATAGATCCATGTAGACCAAGAGGACAGAAAAGACAAGGCTCTAGAAGTTGGAAAGCATTTGGAATAGACCTCAGGAAGCCAAAACTCTTTGCCTCCAGTAGGGAGGCTGAGAAGTGAGACCGTTCTCCGTCGGAACTCAGAAAACCTTAAGGGTTGACAACACCAGCAGCCTATGAAAGCAGAAGGAGGAAGGGCCTGGAAACAGATTTACTGCAGTTCTGAGGACGCACGGCTGCCCTCCTGAACCCATGGCACACCAACATGAGTGCCTGTTCCTCATTGCCGCAGAAAACTGAGTGAGACACTGATGGCGGACGTGAGATGGAGTGGGCTGTTCATACATGAAACAGTAATGTGAGCGCCAAGACGCTTCAGGTGTTTTCAACACTCGGCACCCACCATCCTCCTCTCCAGGGAAATAGTAGGAGATTCACTCGTATCAAATAGGACCGTAGCCACTGAAAATATTGGAAATCAGGAGGCCTGTCAATAAAAGTATGGAGCCATGCTATCCTGTGGTGAAACCCATCGATCAGGAAACCCCACCAAGCACAGAACTCCATTTTGCAGTCCTTAAGTATGAGCTCTCGGCCAAGCGCAATGAACTGCAGGGCGGCATCTCTGCAGGAGAGCCCTGAGGACAGGAGCGCAGGTCAGGAGCCTGGAAAAGGGAGAAGTCAGAGGGACAACACGGTCGCCAGTGCTGGGGGTGGGCTGACGTGCCGAGGGAGTATTCACGGAAACATCTCAGGTGGAGAATTTCAAGAATTTCTAGATACACGGAAAAATAAGAAATCCGTGAGACAAGTATTAGCTTGAAAGCAAACATTGTGGAAGAAAGAAATGCAATGACCATGCAACGCAAATAACAGAACAGCACTCACATAATAACATAAATAACAGCTGTTGATCCAACACAAATATTGCTATTACTTTTGAAAGAAACTGAGAAAGGGCAAAAGCTGAGTGCAGGTGGTATACATGGAGGAGCATGAAAATGAAATCTTTATCTTCCATAGTTATTATTCATTGTAATGGATAAAGCTGAAAAGTAATGAAGGAAATTCCTCCATGTAGTTGAGAGACAAGGAAGGACTATAAAGGCAGGTAACAACCAAAGATACTAAAATGAATTAAGTGCTTGACTTAATGAGTCAAAAAAGAGGGACGAGGGAACACCGGAAAGGGTAGGAGAAGGTGCCATTTTTACAAATTAATTCTCATAGCAATATCTGACTACTTAAACTATATATAGTATGTTTATGTATAAACTCAAAAATAAATAAATAAAAACAAGAGAAAGCAATTGTGATAATGAAAATGAGAGAAAAATGTACAAATAGAGTGAATCGAATGGAAAAAATACAATGAAAAAATAAACTGTGCTTTAGGAAACAACGAAAAAAATACTTATTCAGTTTATATAATTTTACTGACTCAGAAAAGGAAATACGGAATGACTATCAGGCAGTCGATAACATTTTTTTTTTAATGTAGTGCTATATTTTTCACAACTTTTATTATGGAAAATAATTGCTAAAGGTTTTCTTAGAATTTAATTTGATAGGACCACAGGGGATACGGAGCTCAATGATGCTGGTATTCGGGCTCCAGGAGGCAGATTATAAATTAGAAAATATGTTACAAAGTGTTTTCTTAATTTATCATCTGGAAAACCACAGGCTAAAATATGAATTTAGCTAAGGCCTGGCCTTCAAGGAAGTCATGACTCTAAAGAAAAATAAATAAATAAATAAAAACGTAGGCTTCAAATCCACTTAGCTATTGTATAAGCACAGTGCTGGTCCATTAATTGAGGAGCCCCTTCTTCCAGTCTCCTGACAGACCTGTTGACCGCAGTGTAGTTTGCTGCTTCCCAAGCACTTCTGTGTGGCCCGTGACTGGCTATATTGCTTGCAGGGCCCAGAGGAAAGTGACTTGTTGGATGTCTTATTCACAAACTATGACAAAATTCAACACAGCAATGCATGATATCAGCTCAACTGGGAACCTTCTGCAGGAGGGCTCTGTCAGACCACAGGGATCTCTCACCAGTGAAATGGGCTCCTCCCAGTGTCAAACCTTGCACACCTAGCCTTACTCCCTAGACTTCCTCTTCGTACATTTTATGCTCTCTCTCTCTGTCTCTCACACATGGGGGAAGCAAATGAGCATGAGCGAAGGCAATTCCCTCTCTCTTACTGGCTGTCTGAGCCCCCAAACGTAGCAGGGGCGCAGCCGCAAACTCGATCGTAGTTCTCGGCTTCCCATGCAGTTACGTCTTTTGCAGGCAACTCCTCCTCTCCCACAGCAGATGCATCAAACTGAATTCCACAACTCATCTGTCGCCATCAACCACTGATTAACCTTGCTCTAAAATTACTTTTGGTAGATTAAAAAGTATTTAAATAGCTAAAGTCACCGATTAAGATATATCAATAACTGAGTTGCACTTTTCTCCAGAATGCTCTATTAAGCATATGAAACAATGCATTTAAAAGTTAAATATGAGTGAACCTCATACGATAATTGAACATATCCAAACCTTTGATTTTTTCTTGTGCTGTATGACTAATAGACTTGCATTAGTTTTGAAATATCTGAAGTAAGTGGTTCATTAATTTTTTACCTACAGCTTAATGGAAATTTGACAAACAGTTCCCTTCAGAGAGCAGATACTAAAGTAGGACTTCACAGGACACTAAGATCAAATTACAGACAGAAGTTACTTTTCTTTAAATCCCACTTATTAAAGAACTGAGAGAAGAATTTCATTTCCTTACATTATTAAGAAGCTTTGAATAAAACCAAACACAAGCTCCATTTTTATTTCTGTTATATTTTAAAATACATTTGTGAACTATAAGACTCTATTGGATAAGAGGTGAACATTTAGTGGATTGTATGCCTCAATGCAAAAGGTACAATACAAAAGAAGACTGCAACATTAAACTTAACCACTTCTTTTTTTTTCAGGGTTTTTTCCATAGGGCATGTGTGCTCACTGGAGAGGGACTGTGAAAGAGAAAGTGAGAAGTCGTCCCCCAGTGGTGATGGCCATGCCTACAATCCCCTCTCCTCCATGCTCCTTCTGGGATTTTGGCCATGCACAAAAGCTGCCACGTCCAGGACACGAACTGAAGTCTGTATGTAGGAGTCTAGTGCCTTGACCACAACGCCACCTGCTGACCCCCAGCACTTTAACATTCGAACGGCAACATTTATATCCTGCTGTGTACATTGTTTGTGTCTAATAAAGACTGACACCAAATTTTATTTTGGAACTTAATTCATTCTCTCTTCACGTTATGTACACTATATAATCCACATACAGACTCACAAGTGTCCATTCCATCAATAATTCAATCCCTGATACAATGCTGCATGCATGTGAACAGACAATCCTAAATTAGACTCAGTCACTGACTGTTTGAAATGTAACAAATAATTTCACATGATAATTCCCTCACCCCACCTTCTATGCCTCAACTTCCACAATGACTCTAGGTCACTTACTTCAGTAAGTTATCATGCTGAATTACTGAAATAAAAGAGTATATTAGCTCAGAGACCTGGAACTTGGTTCACGGTGGGTAAAATTTAGAAGAAATGAGGTTTAAAAACAAGTCAAATATTTTCTAATTGTACATATTTATTAGGGTTTGCATTATGCTTTTAAAAACTATTAATGCCTACTCCCATTACACTTGGTGATGTGTACAAGGAAAACATGAATGCTGTTAGTTGTCAGAAGTTTTTTCGTGTGTGTAACAGGATGAAATCCTTTAAACTCAATGAAAAGTCAGAGTATACAAGTGCCAACTGCTCAGACAATCTTAGGGACGGTAAAACTTCAGAAACTAAAAACCTCAGGTACTAGAAGTCCCAAGATTAAGAAACCTAGAGGTAAGATAAGGTAAAAAAACGATGTCTTTTTTTTTTTGGAGAGGTTTTTGCTCTAGGGCACGTGCGCTCCCCAGACAAAGAGAGACACAGAGACAGGAAGCGAGAAATCACCCCCCAGAGGGGATGGCCATGCCACAATCCCTTCTCCTCCATTCTCCTCTCGGGATCTTAGGCACGCACGCACACGCACCCGGCATGAGTTTTAAAGCCACGGGGTCCGGGACACGAACCACCGTCAACTGCATGGGAGTCCAACGACATAGCCATTATGCTAACTGCTGGTCCCCAAAAAACAATGTCTTGGTTAAATAAAACAGGGGCTTGGATTGGATCAATGATGATAATGTGCCACAGTTGAGAACTGTGTGTGTATGTGTGTGTGTGTGTGTGTGTGTGTATGTGTGTGTGTGTGTGTAAATCTAAGTCCTTGCACTCAGTGTAAGCATGAACCCGTTCTACTCAAGGTGCAGTCCTTAAAGAAGGAGCACCCATAAGATAGGGGAGCTGGTTAGACACGCTGAGTCCCTGCCCATGCCAGACCTCAAGTCAGACTGCAGTTTAACTAGCCCCAGGGCATTCACATGTGCATTAGAGAAACACTGGTCTAAATAATTACATATTTTTTCCACAGCATAATTTACACATTTTTAGCAATGAAATTATAAAAAGTAGGAGGCACATGATGAAAACAAGTTTTTCACCTTAGCCCAGATTAAGGATGAAAGAATCTTTAACTCTATCTGTAAACCCCAGGTCAACAGTTCTCTCAAGCTCCCCTTCAGAATGGCTAACAGG